TTCTAGTTCATTACTCAATACCTTACAACAAAAACACAAGATTCTTAATTGTGGTGAGACAAAATGAGAAATCTTAGAGTGCGTTTAGAACTCGTTCTAAAATAATTTTATTTTTTATATGAAAATGTTTTCAATCTCATACATAAATTATTTTTAAAAATGCGTTTGGTAGTTTTATCAAGAGATCATTTTCAGTATAAAAAAATCTATTAATGTCTCTCTATTTCTCTCTGTGTAACGGAAACAAAAAATGAAAAACGACTAAAAGTCGTTTTGCATTTTTCTCTAATTTTACACTAAATCAAAAAATTATTTTCATTTCTGTTTTTTATTTTTAATTGTGTCAAATGTCGTTTCTTTCTCATTTTTATTTTTTTCTCGAAAAACGCGAAAACAAAAATTAAAAAAAACTCCAAACACAACCTGCTTAATTATTTGTTCTTACTTTCAGTTGTTCCCGTACGGATTTCCTGTTTAAACTCAAGGAGTTGCAGATATTTCCCAGCACAATGGCTTCAGCAACATTTTCCTTCCTAGGCCATGTCATGATATCTCCAAGTCGATCTTTAGTCGTCTTTCTATGAGTTTTCTCGCATCGCATTTCGCGATAGAACTGTCAACAATTGATCTGCTTTAGTGAATTCATACTGAAAATTCTCCTACTAATACGCTTAGTTTTGACCGCGAGATTTGTTACATTTTGTTAGTTTTGTGTACTTTTTTTTTTTCATTTGATGTAATTTCGAGCGAATTAATGTTTAAAAATATGCACCGATTTGAACAAATTCATGAATGATAATTAAGCTTACTGAGCCGTTAATCTCTTCGACCAACAAGCACGAGTTAGCAACATCTTCGTAATGTTGGCCTGCATCTTTGATCTCTCTGAAGAGCTGCTTTTCCTCGGCCAAACTGGCGGCTCCATGACGAACCCGGAAATGCAATTTCTGAATCCATTTCAATTGTCACAAATCAAAAAGAAAAAACGGAAAGAATCAATATAATACAGGTGTTAAAATTCATTATGCTAGTTCCTTACATGCTTAACAAGCTCTTCTCTCGATAGGCATGACTTAGTAGCCGGTTTTCCCTGGTGAGTAGTATTGTTTGCAAAATGTGGCTCGTCAAGAAATAGTACGAAAATGTCCTGTTCTTTCCTAATCTGGACCATATTTCTCCTTAATCTCCTTTCATCATAATTCAGCTCTTCTAATGCGTGGACAATTTCTGTCCTTTCAAACTGTTAAAACAAAAAGTTTGAAAGAACAAATTTCACAGATTAAACTCATAATAATTTAAGCAACACAAAGAACAATGCTCAATTATATATAAAATCGATTTGCGACTTGTTTTCACACGTACCATCACTTGATCTAATTTTTCGGTAATCTGAAGTTTGTCACGACTCAACTTGTTGATCAGCTCCAGGATTTCAGTAAAGTTTGGCTTCTAATTCGACGGAGCACAATTCATCAGGTCTCGGAGGAACATGTTTCGGAGCTTTTGGCCGACCAAGTTCTGGCCGTTGCTTCGCTTTTGCGCACGCATTGTCTCGCGAAGGACCGCGATTGTCCCCTTCGTAATTTTCAAGTAGAGGAGGCTTCGGAGTTGAGGAATTAGCTTCCAATTCTTCCATGTTGCTGGGCTTTGCCTGATCATAGTACAACACAATTATTTAAGGTAAAAAAAGAGAAACTAAAATGAAATATCAAATAATCTTTCGACGGTTGGTGACTACTGGCCGATTGATCATTCAGAGTTGGTTAAGCTTTCTATACAAATTGCAATATTAGATTAATCACATGACAAAAAATAAATTCAAGCTGAAGGAATTGAAGAGAAGTCATAAATCATATATTATGCCTCTGCCAAACAGATGCGTGGGACTTTTTCCAAGTGAGAAAAATTTAGAATATACTAGTAAAGAAGGGGAAAACGTTACCTTAAAAGTGTCCCACAGGAATTTGAGGGATGTAACAAACTGACTGGCAAGTTAGATAGTCTTAATATTAGTGTCCTTTATATATATATATAT